TCAAAATACTGACTCCCCCCCTCTAAATACCACCACAGCAGGGAGAACTAGTTCTCAAAGAGTGGGGCTGAGGTTTCTTTAGCTCAGTTTCCCATCAGTTCAAGTGGGTGAACACTCTTTGTCAGGAACATCCTTGGTGCTGAAGGTACAAAGATGAAACGGACATCGTTTGTTGCTAGTTGTTTTATCTATAGTTTAAACTAGAAGTGAAGTAATGGAAAAAATAAAGGGTTTCCAACAGATGGTTTTCACAAGGGAAATGTGCTAATGTGCACATCCAAAAGAAACGTGGGACAGGTGGGGAAGTGAGCACCACCTGCTAATTGTTTTCTGAAGCTTATTTTTGAAAACCTCACAGTGGAAGTGGCTGTATCAAAGATATATTATGTATGATGTTCAGCCAGGAAGGGTCCTTAGGAAGATCTTTGGCTAGGAACTGTATTGTGAGAAGAAAGAAGAGAATATTTTATTTCTGATTGGTCCAATCTTTAGAAATAGGAATACTCATATATGTCAGTTATACCTCAATAAAAAAAAAAAAAGACATAAGAAAGTATTCAGAATAAAGGTTCATTGTTAACCACCGGCCCCCACAAAGAAATAAGAATACTCTATGGTGAACAATATATCATGTTTATTTCTGTGTTATTTGGCTTATTGCAATGACATTAGGATAAAAGTTCTGGAATCTTAAGTTTCTGCTTTGGCATCTTTCAGTGAGATAAGGTATGCTTCTCAGTTAATCTGATAACTGTAGTGATCATCCAGGATTAGGAAGATGTTCAGGATAAGAGAAATGTCAGAAAACTTGCTTAAGAAAAAAACAAAAAATCAGAATAACAAAGCAGGTTATAGTTGTGAAAAGGATTGGTTTTAGGGAAACATGAAGAGAACAGATTGTGTGTGTGCGCACACGCGCCACATAGTGGGAAATCATCCCTATAGATTTGCTACTGAAATGTAGTGTCTGCCGTTCCCTGGACTGTCTTCCTGCTCCAGGACTTCTTTCCATTAGAAATTTAGAGGATGTCTTATTTTCTGACACATTTCTGTGAGGACAGTGAAGGAATGCATGAGGTTGAGTCCCGGAGGGCCTTGTTTTGGGGAGGACCACTGTAATAGACTCTGGCAGTGAGCACGAAATAGAAATGTGCTTTTTGAAGGAGAGAATCAAGGTTTTACATAGTCTCAATGCCTTACTTTTGAGAAAATTAGGATAATTTTTAAATCCCAGAATCATTACTTTAAAAGGTTTACCCACAGGGCTTTTTTTGTCTTGGTTTTTGTTTGCTTGTTTTTTTAGTTGTCTAAATGGGCAAGTATGATATTTTTATTTGTAGCTTTCAGAGAAGATGGCAGTTGATCTCTTTGCTTTTAAGTTTTCTTCCTTCCCTGGCTGCTCTTTGGCAGTGTTTGCTGGCTCCTCTTCCTTTCCCCAGATGTATGAGTGTCCTAGGACTGAGTCTTTGGTCCTCCTCTCCATCTACACTTATTGCCTTGGTAAATTATTTGGCCCCTGGGTGGAAATACCATCTGTGCGTTAAAGTATTGATTTCCACCCAGTCCTTTCTCCCAGAATTCAAACTTGAATGTTGGACACACATTCACATTTCTAACAGACATTTCAGACTTCACATGTCTAAAAGTGAACACATGGTCTTCTCCCGCCAGCCCCTAGGCCCCAAACCTATTACCTACAAGGCTTTCTTTGTTTCAGTTGATGGCAGCTCTTTTGCTCTGGCCAAAAACTGTAGAAATCATTGATACCTCTCTTTCTCTCATATCCTATATCCAATCCGTTAGAAAATTCTGTTAACAATACCTTCAGACCAGATCGAGCTGGTCATCCCTTCCTGCCACCTCCACTGTCACCACCTAGGTTCAAGCTGCCACATTTCTTGCTTACATTATATAATAGCCTCTTGGTAGATTAGCTTCTCTCCTTGCCCCTCTGTTCTCAGTATAGCACCCAATGTGATCCATTTAAAACAAAATTAGATTAGGCCACCCTTCTCAAAACTGTGCAGTGGCTCCCCATGTTACTCAGATTCTTTGAACATGTCAGCATGCTCCCACCTTAGGGCCTGTACTCTGCTGTCTATAGCCTGGAGTGCTCTTTCCTTCTTTCTCCTCTCAGCCCACTCCCTTCTGTCTCTCAAGTCAGGTCTCACCTTTTCAGTGGGCCTTTTCCTGACCACCCTATCTCACAGGGCAGCCTGCCTTTTTTTCTTCTTGGGACCCCCAATCTTCTTTACTCTGCTCTACCTTTTTTTCCCATATGCTTATCTCCTTCTCATGTGCTAAAGAAATGCGTATCCTCTGTGGTAGCCTAATAGTAGCCACCTGCAGCCCTTTAAATTTTAATTAGTGAAAGTTAAATAAAATAAAAAAAATTAGGTCCTCAGGTCACACTAGCCACATTTCAAGTGCTCAAGAGTCACATGTGGCAGGTGGCTACTGTATTAGATAACACAGATAGAGAACATTTCCATCATCTCAGAAAATTTTATTGGAGTGCTCTGCTATGGAATTTACTGATTTATTGTGTTTAATGTTTATTCTCTGATAATGCAAGAGTATAAACTTTTCTATTTTATTTACTGATAGAAAACTTACCTTACTGATAGAACAGTGGTTGGCACATAGTAGGTGATCAATAAATATATGTTGACTTGAATGGGATTACCATTCAGTAATAAATAAAATAATAAAAATAATTGAATTTATATTTCAATTCACAAAATAAATAATAATTATTATAATAAAAATATTCGCAGCCAACATTTTCTGAATGCTGCTGTGCTGGGCCTGCACCACACTAGTTATTTTACATGCTTATTTCCTTGAATTCTTACAATAGCTGTGTGTGCGTCTGTGTCTGTGTGTGTCTGTATGTGTGAAATCCCCATCTTATAGATCAGGGAATGGCTGTAGAGAAGGTGAGTGGCTTGACCAAGGACACAAACCAGCTTAGCGGTAGAGCCAGAATTTGGACCTGGTGCATCTCACTCCCAGTGGTTTAAGGCCTAGCCAATGCTCAGTTATTCTGCTTTCTGAGTTTTAGGTTAATTTTGCAGTTCAGGTTAAATCTGCCCTTCTACTAATCTGCTCAGAGAGGGATAAATTTAATGATATTTTTTATAAAAAGGAAATTTTATGCTTAATGCTGAGTTGCCTTGGCAACATAGAGTGAGTTAAAGATCAAGTTTTATTTAAAACCTTGATTCACTTGAGTTAAGATCTTAGATTTCTATAACCTAAAAAATTAATCATCCAGAAATACTGACATGAAATACATTCTTAGAAATGCAGTTAGATGTCATAAAAGAAGATATCACCTGCCACTTTGAAATTGTTCTGATTTTAGCCTGTATTATGTTGGTTTGATCTCTTGAGTATTTACTTGCACTTGCTTATCCAAGTAGATTGTGTGTGTGTGTATGTGTGTGTGTAAATTAAAATCACTTCCTGGAAACCAAGGCACAAGCGAGCAGTGAAAGCTAACTTTATTTTATCCAGGTTTTTTGTTGTTGTTAAGGTGATAGTGACTGAGATTTAATTATTTTAAGAAACCAGGATAAAGGTGATAATAACAAATTCTTAATGAATATTTCTTGTGTGCCATGCACTCTGCTAAAGCCTGTATATGCATTTACATGCATTTCGTCCTAACAACAATTCTTTGAGGTAGGTGCTGTTTACAGTTAAGAAAACTAGGTTTCAGAGATGGCTAATAAGTGACTGAGAAGGAATATGAACACGCTCTTCCCACTCCCAGTCTCCATGAGGAATCTGTATCCTTTAGAGAGAATGTGTTCTTCAAAAAGAACCTAGAGATAATTGGTAGAAATATCTGAAGTAAAGGAGACAGATTTTTATTTGCCTTTTTACACTCTTTCCAAGTCTTTCAAATTGTGTGTTAGATTGAGGGACTTTTTATGAATGTCTTCTGCATTTGAGTCTAGAGCAGTGCTTCTCAACCTATGCTGAACACTAGCATCACATGGGAGCAGTTAAAAAATACTGATGCCTGAGTCTCATCCCCAGAGACTGCCATTTACTTGGCTTGGGATACTGCATGGACACTGGGATTTTTCAAAGTTCTTTGGGTAATTCCAGTGTCTGACCAGGATTGAGAACCAATGGTGTGTGTCAGTGGTTCCCAGATTTGTCTGCACATTGGATCGTCTGGGGAGCTTCAAAAACTCCTCATGCCTGTGCTCCTTCCCCAGAGTCTGTGATTTAGTTGCTGTCTTCTGCTGCCTGGAGTTTGGAAGCTTTAAGATTCCCAGGTGATTCCAATGTGCAGACACATCTGGGGACCTCTGGTTATGCAGTGGTTTTTGACCTTGGCTGCACATTAGAATCAGCTAAGGAACTTTTAAAGCTCGCATTACCCTGGCTTGCACCCACTCCAATTCAACAGAGTCTTTGGCGGTGGACCTATGCGGCAGTAGTTTTTGATGCTCTCCAGGTGATTCCCAATATGAAGCCAAAGGTGAGAACTGCAGATTTCTTCTTTTTCTCTCCTATGTACTTTTGGACCAGCTACATTTAGTTTCTCAATTCAGAATATGTACGTGAGGAAGGAAGGGGGAAATGATTAGTCTGGAGAGGCTTTTTCTTATGTAGATATACTGAGTTCATTTTCTTAGACCAACACGAAAGAATGCAGAGCTAAGCAAATTATGGAAAGTAATATGTTCTGTGTTCCAATAATTAGCTAACAAAGTTAGTTTAGCCTGCTTGTATTGATGTAGTTTAATTACTACTAAAACCCTAAAACTAAGGATGAGATTGCTGATTTTTTGGATTTAGTAACTCTAGTTTTTTTCCCCTTTGGCCTTTGTTTTGTATTATTGGCTGGTATCAAACATGAATTTGCCCTGTAAAATTAAAGAACCATTAAGAAAAATTAAAATTTTTTAATTAAGAAGAATAAAAGTGATATCTTCTGTCTGTGCCTTATTGAGCTTGTTCCTGTTCACTGTGTTCTCCAGGAGTTCCAGGTGTCAAGGAAGAACGCTTTGAAGAAGGAATGACAGTAAAGCACTGTGCATTGTCACTTGTAGGAGAGCCCATCATGTACCCAGAAATCAACAGGTTTTTGAAACTACTCCACGAGTATAAAATCTCCAGTTTCCTGGTCACAAATGCACAATTCCCTGCAGAAATCAGGTGAGTGGTCCAGCTTAAAATATGCTGCTTGAATCTGCATTTGACTGAAAAGTAAAACTAGTAGGCATTAATATATTCAAAAAGGTTTTATTGATTACTGACTATGTACAAATATTGGCTTTTGGGGGCAGAGATGGTCCTGCTCTTAAAAATCCATTCTTTTAGCGAAGATAATATTAGAATATAGAATATAAGAATGTAAGAACATAAGAGTAGAGGCACAAATATGTTGCTGGGGGATTTCAAAAGAGAATGCAGTTTTTTGCTGATGGGAGAAGCAGGGTAAAACTTCTCAGAGAAGGCATTTAATTTGGATCTTAAACTATGGCTGGGATTGGTACTTGGGGAGGTCAGAAACTGTAGTTTTTTAATAAGAACCTCCCAAAAAAGATACAGAGTTAGGGTATTTGTGATACCATTGTGAAAATATAATTAATCTGAATCACAGAATGTGTGAAAGAGACTGGCAGCTAGAAACCAAGTTGGAAAGGTTGGGAATAGATTGTGGAGGACTTCAAATGCTGTTCTTTAGAAAGATCTTGCTTTCTGCAGAGTAATGTGCTAGCATGGTATAAAATGGGAGAGCCGAAAGTCAGGGAACTGGATAGGAGATTATATGCTTGTTTAGGTAAGAGTTATAAGGATGAAAGTGTGACAGTGAGAATGAGAAGTCTTAAAAAAAAGATAATATTGAGGCAAAATAGATAAGCTTGGCATGCTGTTTGTATGACTCTGAGATCTCTGCATAGAAGAGGACTAAAAAATGACACGGAAAGTTCTAGCCATGTTGATTGCTAGGATTATGGGGCCCTGTAACAGTGGAGGGATCCCATAAAGAAGGAGCAGGTTTAGGAGGTAAGATGATGAGGTTGGTTTGGATGACTTAGAGGGAAGGCTCTCCAGATGGAGATGACCATCTCCTGGGGCCTGGAAATGACCTGTTTTTGCATTTTACTTGAACCGTGCACATTTTATAGCACAGAAAACATTAAAGTTTACTTAGTTGTTATTTACCTGTGCTTTCCCCATCAAACTAAGTTCCTTGCCAGTCACCCCTGCATATTTAGCTTCATGCTACTAGTATAGAGCCTGATACACTGTAGGTGCTCTGTAGATGACTGGTGAAGTATTGGGGAAATTCCCACATAGGAGTAAAAGACAATGATCTTTTTGAATTCAAATTTGTTTTGTAAATACTGGCCAATAAGGTATAACATGAAAAAAGGAGAAAATAATTGTCAAATATAAAAGACACTATAATGTGTAGAAGGAATGATCACACACACATGCACACGCACAGTCATGCACAAAGTTTAAAATTTAGCGTCATAGGAAATCAAAGAGTTGATTAAAATTATTGGCTACCGGGCAATAATATGAAAATCAGGTACATTGTTACAAAGACAGCTAAAATACTGCTTTTTGAAGCTGTATAAAAAGGTAAAGTTAAAAGGGAAAAATTTTTTAAAAAGTCAGTGTGTAAATTTTGTGTATGGTCACCATTCCTTTTTTTTAACTTTTGTTAGGTTTAAAATCCTTGACTTTTCAGATGGCTCATGAGGGAGAAATTGGGATAGAGTGGTGTTGAGATGTATATATATATATATATACACCACATATATATAAAAAGGGAGTCTATCCTAAATTTAAGGCATATATGCCTAAAAAGAATTGAATCTGGTAGGAGTAGCATGTAAAATGATAACCAGAGAGGATGATTCATTATTTGATCATGCATGATATTCCTTGTGAATGTCATCATGGATTGAGGAAAATTATTGAGAATTAAATAATATATGTACTTGAAAGTGTCCAGAAAAATGCCTGATACATAGTGAACATTGGATAGATATTATTGGGCTTCTCTTCCCCACTCTTGCTGATGAGCCTTCTCTTGTCAGCAGGAAGACATGATGCAATAAGACATCAGTACTAGTCTTGACTACTGTCAACAAACAAATGGGATACAGTGGCGTATGGTTCCAAATAAGTAATTCTTGATTGACTAAACCAGTCTTTTAGTGTGGGTACTGGCAAATTGAGAGGGAGGCAAAAAGGAAGAAGTAAGGTGGCGGGGGTGGAGGAATAGGTTATTAGCAAATTTCTCCCATTTTGAAGACAAGAGTTTAAAAAATAGAAGAGTGTACCCTATGAGAATTTCTTGTTGTGGTTAGTGCCATTGAGTTGATTCCGACTCCTAGCGCCTCTGTGTACAGCAGAGTGGAACCCTGCCCCATCTTTTTGTGCCATCCTCTCACCTTCTGGCGCTATATCAGATAATGTTTCGCTACTATTCACAGGGTTTTCATGGCCAATTTTTTCAGAAGTGGGTGGCCAGGTCCTTCTTCCTAGTCTGTCTTAGTCTGGAAGTTCCACTGAAACCTATCCACCATGGGTGACCCTTCTGGTATTTGAAATACCAGTGGCATAGCTTTCAGCATCACAGAAACAAGCGGCCACCACAGTATGACAGCTGATAGATGGGTGAAGTGATTCCCTGACTGGGAGACGAACCCGGGTCACGGTGGTGAGAGCACTGGATTTTAACCACTAAACCACCAGGGCTGACTCTATGAGAAATATGCAAGAAAGAAGGAATGCTTAGAAAAGGGAAGTTCCTTTTTTGGATTTTTAATGTATTCTTCAAGCTCCCTAATATTCCCTAATATTCAGGGAATTGCACCCCTTTTTTAGTTATGTGCTTTTCTGGGCATAAGAGAGAATATGTAGAAAGTCCACTCTTTAGGTGTGGACTTTAAAGAGTTGACGTGTCTTCGTTATCCACCGAAATACCTGTCTAGACATAGAGAAAAAAAAAACAAAGCTGAGATTGACAGATTATTGCTAGGATCTAGGAAGAATTTCTGATAATTGAGACCCTGATAGAGACGAATTGAAGAGCATAACCGTTAGGTGTACCTATCTCTGAAGGAGAGCAATCGTACGGGCTTAACAATAATGTATGTGTCCAAATGTTAGGGGTCCTAAATATAAGGCAACCCTCCTACTCTCACGTTTCCCCAATGAAAGATGTGAAGAGTTCAGAAAAAATTTAAAAGAAGAGCAATGAAATTTGCTGTAAGACATACTAAGATATGTTGTAAAACTCAAGTTTCAAATACTCTGGACTATAGAGTAGTGAAACAAAATAGTGCTGAGAATGTCCCTACTTTAAACTAATACTTCCATAACTTGAGGCCTCTTTGAGTTGAGCTAAGGGCTCTCTCACTCCCACCCCTGTGGCCCAAGAGAAGATGGAAAGAGAAATACTTCTCTAAGTGCAGATAATATTGTTTTATTTCTGTGAATTAGGAGGAATCTAAATAACAATTATCTCTGGTGTCTTAGTTTCTTTCAGAAAAACAAGGCTATAGATTTACAAATATGGTGCAGAGGTCATGAATTTTGGAAATTACCCCTAATGTTTATGGTGCTAAGTCTATACAGCAGGTCAGCTGATTAAATTCAGCTGTTAGGTAAAGCTCTTATAACCATTTTATCTTTGAGCATACACTAGGAAGTAATACTAACCCATAGTCTGGTATCTTTTTTTTTTTTTTTTAACAGTTTTATTTATTTATTTATTTTTTTGTGAGGAAAATCAGCCCTGAGCTAACATCCATGCTAATCCTCCTCTTTTTGCTGAGGAAGACTGGCTCTGAGCTAACATCTATTGCCAATCCTCCTCCTTTTTTTTTTTGCCCCAAAGCCCCAGTAGATAGTTGTATGTCATAGTTGCACATCCTTATAGTTGCTGTATGTGGGATGGAGCCTCAGCATGGCTGGAGAAGCAGTGTGTCGGTGTGTGCCCGGGATCCGAACCCGGGCCGCCAGTAGCGGAGCGCACGCACTTAACTGCTAAGCCAAGGGCTGGCCCCAGTCTGGTATCTTTTGAGGAGAATCTTGACTGTCAGTTACCCCTCACTTGACCCACATGCAAGTGTTACATTCAGGTGAGTGGCCTTTTCAGGATACTTAACTTTTCCTTAAGAGGATTTCAGTCTCCCCTCCAGATCCAAAGCATATGACTCTTTGCTGACAGTGCTCCTACCGAGGGGAGTTTTCACAGTGAGTGTCCTCAAGGATTTATGGAAGATAGAAGCAAACAGGTAAATGAGAAAGCTGTTGCATTCTGAGTAGCTTTATGTTTTTGTTTGTCAACACAGAGGCTAATAAAAGTGACAAGAATGCGTAAGACACTTAGTGTTAATAATAGAGCTGGTGTTTGGACGATAAAAGCCCCTTTCTTGAGGAAAACTCCTCTTAGTTCTACCAAAACAAGTGCTTTTATATTGGTATTTTTGATAGGTATATAACTGATATACTGTAGTATGTATCATTTATCTTTTGCTGTAACCACTCACCTTAAAACTGAGTCATTCAAACTAGCAGCCATTTATTTAGCTCATAATTCTGCGCATCAGCTGGCTTTGCTGGTCTCAGTGTTGTTCATGTGTCTAGTCAGTTGGTGGATTCACTGGGCTGGCTGGTTTATGATGACCTTGGCTGGGACAACTGGGGCCTCTGTTCATATAGCCTCTTATCCTCCAGCAAGTTTCCTGAACTTCATTAAGTGGTGGCAGGGTTTCAACAAGCAGCAAGAGAGGGCAGGGCCCAGTGCACGAGCATCTTTCAAGCCTCTGCTTGTGTCACATTTGCTCATTTCCCATTGGCCAAAGCAAGTCACACTGCCGAGCTTAGAGTCAGTGAGAGGGCACGCAAAGCTACAGGGCAAGGGGACGTGGACATAGGGAGAGGAGGAATATATGGCCGTGTTTGCAGTCTACCATATAGCACAACAGACTGTACTTGTCAAAGAGGATGACATTGAACCACTGGGACTCAGTAGTTTTCAGGAACTCAATTGAAAAAAAATTATAGTTATGTGGGATAGCCAGAGGGTTGTTAAGACCAGAGGTATCAAACTGGCAGTTGATGAGAAGCTGGTCTTATTTGTCTTAGACCATGTTTAAAAACTGTTTTTTTGAGCCAACATTTAA